TTCATGGAGGTGCCTTTTGTCCCACACCGTGAGTTTCCAACAGAGTGCCACCAGAGGTTCGTTCCCCAGGGCTTTTTGACAAGCAAAGGCGCGGGCCCGGTCCCTTCTAATACTCGACACAGAAGTCGTGAGCCGGAACGTTCCATTCTTGCACGACCACGAGACATGCACCCATTTCCTTCCACCGCGACCTCACTCTGCAGAGTCCACTTAGGTCAGCTCGTCGACTTTGGACCAGAAGATGAACAACGTAGCCTAGATCTCACGTAGTGCACTCGGACATCGCCAAGAAGAAGGAATCCAGCCGGCTTCGACAGCATCAAGCACTCCAGAGAACGAAGCGAGGACGACACGGAGCACAGCGTACTAGTCCTTGATAGTACCATGCGTCTCCGTCTAAAGAGAAGCATCGACCTGTATCTAGAGAGTCGACTCGAGCGCTCCAGACATTAATTGCTGCTGCGTGTACTCCCACAGCACCAGAGCCCCGCTCACGTGCACATTCAGTGAGCGTACCAGGCCAAAACTGTGAGATTTTCCAACAACACAGTTCAACCAGGTGGCAGCCACTTCGAACCGGGATCCCTTCCTTCTCTCGCCCCAACACCAGCACCATCTTACGGGGCAGCGTGTAGCTCGCGAGACTCACACTGGACGCCGTTTGCTCCACTGCCACAATCGTGTAGCCCTCGCGCTTCCATCGCACAAGTGCTCGTCGTAAATCGTCACCTTGAGGTCGCACTTCTTCCAGTGGCATCCACTTGTGAGCCGTGGCGCTGACATTCACGAACGTGACGTCCTGCTGCGTCATCCGCAGGTTCGGCACGACCAGTTTCTGAGCGTTGAAGATCTCGCAAGTCCGTGCCAGTCCAGCCAGATTCGGGACCTTGTCCACCAAGCTTGCACACATGATAAGAGGCTGTCGAGGTCGTTGACGGGCGTTTAGCGTCGCTCCACGTCGTGCTGCGTCAAAGTCGGCACGCATCGCTGCAGGGAGCGCATTATCCTCCAGCAGCAGCGCCGTCGTGTCAATTTTACGCTGCACAGTGAGGAATCCACTTACGCTATCCGCCTCCATGCTGCTCTTCTGCTCTGAAGGAGTTGGAGGGAAGTTCTCGAGCTGGTACTGCGCGTAGAGCTCGTTCATGGCAGTCTTGAGCTGTTCACTGAAGCGCAGAGCGTCGTCACGAGGTAAGAGCTCTCCGAACTCGCTAATGAAGCCAGAAGAGAGCATCCCCAGCAACGAACTCTCGTAGTCCGGGTGGAACTCGTCCAGTTGTCGAGCTTGACGTCGTAGCATTCGCTTGCACTCCTTGTTGTTGCTCAGATAACGCGCCGTGCCCTCCAGAAAGCGGAGACCTGGAGTGTCTTTAGAGCTTTGTTTCAAGTAGTGGATGTGGCGAGGAAGTACCTTGGCCAGCAGATACTGAGCCAGTACTCGAGAGTAGCCATGAGACGTATTCAACCACGGCAACATGGTCTCCAGCAGTTCTCCACAGTCGACGTCAAGACTGTTGTCGTCCAGCTTGGTGTCCACCAGATACGCCGACACAAGTAACAGTGAAGCGCCCACTTGTGGCATCAGATTCGCATCGCCAAGCATGGGCAGCAACACGCCAGAGCAAATCTCCGTTGGGAACTTGGCAGCCATCCGCATACCGAACAGCTCCATGTAGTAGCGAACACTGGGCAGTTGAGGCACAGCAAATGCAGTAGCTAGAGTAGGAAGCAACTCTGTCAGCTGCGACTTGGTCACGTGTGCACTGACGATGCAGAGAGCCTGCCAGGAGCGCAGTTTCTTGCCGAACCCATCGCTGTTGAGCATGTGTTGCTTCTGCCACTCAGGCGTCACATTGAGCTTCAGAAGTCGAGCTGTCAGAGCATCAAAGAGCTGCTGCGTATCGTTACTGGACGAGCTCTTGTCGACAGCGACGTCGTCCACGAAGCTCAACATGACAAGCCGCACAAATCTGTCCTTGGCGTGGGTCGTGACCGCTGCTGTCTGGTTGCCATCGAGAGGAGAATAGCCTTGGAATCCTTGGAATGGAGCACCCGCATCCGTTGCCAGCTGCTCCTTCTCGTCGATCAAAGGTTCCTTATACAGCAGCAGCTCCACCAGCTCGTCTACAAAGGACAGAGCCGACACTGGGTGTGCACGCCACGTTTGACATAAGCGACACGCCAAGTGGAAGACCACATTGGGTCTGTGTCTCGAGCCAAAGCGGATAAACCCTGCCAGCCAGAGCTTCATCGTCGAAGTCAGCTCAGCTCGCAGCAGGAATACTGGCTGGAACATACACGTCACGACAGCTCGAGTGAGCGCGTCAGGCTTGGCCTTGCTGTCGTGTACGCGCGTCCAGACTTCCTCTAACAAACTATCAATATCCTTCGAGG